ACCTTGTTTGTTGTTTTAATTCATATATCAATTTAAAGCACAAGACAAATATTGTAATAGAATACAAGTTACTGTTTAATCTAGAAAAAAAATCAAGTAAAAAAAATGATTTAGTGCCATTGCAGCTTCATCAGTCCTTACATTTCTTCAGAATGGCAGAATCAGGTGAATTAAACATTTTCAAAGCTGCAGAGAATAATTTCTCATAAAATCCCTGCTTTAAATCCTATAGAGAAAAGACAGATTTTCTCTGTATAATGAGCTTAAAGTGCTGTCACAAGATCCAAAGATTAAACTTCTGATACTGTTATGTTTCTCCAGCACTAATTAATAACTTAGTTATAGTAGAAGATGAATTTACTTCTTCAGACTGAGTCACAGCAGGCTCTCACCTGCATTTCTATTTCCAGGCCTCACCCCTGAGGGGGTCTCTAGCCTGGATAAGGCTGCTCTGTTAGAAAGATATTGATTCATAAATCTCTTGTGGGTCCTCACCTGGGATCAATATGCCTCAAACCTCGCCAGAAGCTGTTTCCTCCACAAACAAAGCTCACAGACTCTAAAAGTACAAAAAGCTTGAACTAAATAGCCCATAGGGCAGCATTCTTCCCCTGTATACAACATTTTACTGCAGAATGAACAATAATGATTCTAGACCGACAAACAACAATCACAAGTTCAGACAAAAAAAACACCAATGTCTACTTTACTCTGCTGCATCAGCTAATTCGAAAAGTTTGATCTAATAAATTTTGCTCTGCAGCGTTTAAAGGCCTCGACACAAACACGCATCCCAAGGAGAGAGAAATCAGTCTGCATAATATAATATAATTCTAGTGAGCACAGAAAGATGCTCTGGACTCAGGACATCACATGACATCTCTAATGTGCTCGCTGCCTAACCATCCATACTGTACTGCCAGGGAGTCGCTGCTGGCGTCGAGCGTAACATACTGGCTGTGACTTCGCCGAGGCCTGCGAGGACAGAAAGTACTTGGATGGGCTTCTCTTCCACCCTGCTGCTTCGGCTCGTCTTTGTTCGAGAGATCAAGAGCAGGGAACAAGAATAAGGACAGAGGAAGCCAGTTTCTGAACCTCATCCTGTACATGTTTGGACGTGTGTCTTTGTGCGTGATGCAGCGTCTTAGAAATGACGTTTGTATGAATCCAGCATTTCAGTGTTCTCCGGCTCAGAGCCTGGCAGTGCTCATTGCTATCACAACCCCCACCACACACACACACAGAGCACGTAGCTGCACGTCCACACTGCACATACAACCTATGCAAGCATAAGCACCCCCACTCTTGCACCCCACCTACACACACACACGAACAGCACCCTGCCTACTGGAATGTAACCATGGAAACGGAGCGCCTGCCCAACAGGAGTTGTGATGGAGGCAGCAGAAGGGAGGCAGGCGAACAGGAAGGAGTGTGTTCACCTCCTATTCATCTACGCCATAGATGAGGGGATGAATCCATCTGTCACACAGTGAAACTGAACTGAGGAACAGTCATCTTTAAATCCAGAATGTTTCATATCAATATAATAATGATTATATATCAAAATGCACATGCCACGATAGATTATATTTTTATACTCTTAATAAAATGTTATAATGAATGTGAAAGCATAATAATAACACGTCATTATATGATATATAACATGAAATCAAACATTAGTAGATGTTAAAAGAAATGTATTATGCATTTTCAGGTATGAGGTTATTCATTAATTAACCTGGTCATATTTTTACAGGCCAAACTGGCCCAAACTAATAAATACACATTACAATAATTTTTGTAAAAACAATGTTTACTATTGAGATGTAAGGCACCTGGGTAGAAAGCCAGCACTGTAGTTCCCTCCATGTCACAATGGTGCTGTCAGGAATTCACTGTATATTTAAATACAATCCATCTAAACCCACTTTTTATTTACTTGTTCACTTTTAAGCAGTTTTGTGGTTTCAAGTTGTGCATTTTCCATTCAGTTTGGTTTTGACATGACAATAAACCTGTAATATGGCTCTGCTAACGTACAGCCACAGAGAGAGAGCCTATATATAACCAATGAAGCAACCAAGAAACCGTCTATATGGTGCTATGTCTCTTACTAGAAATATTCACAGCATACAGATTTACTCATTTATGTAGCACTGTACTTACTCCACTTAATTACTACAGTGTTTACTACAGCTTTATCAAATATTAAAGCTTTGACATTCAAGCTTTGGCATCTGGGAATAACAGTGATTCCACAATGAGGTCGTAGAAGAAAAGACTTCTAGTATATACAGTATATATGTCTATTTGCTGAACACACAAGTTATATTATTTATTTGATTGCTTCTTGTGTTTTCGCAAATTCTTCATCACACAGTTGAACCAGTATGATTGAACAATTAAATCTTTTTGAAAAGCACTTCTACGTGTTGTTACGTTCACAGCGGGGCTACGTGGGCTGTAATGTGTAACACAAGAATAATATTTTCAAATCAGCAGCCCACCACCACATCTCTCTCTGTGAGCACTACAGGTGGAGGACGGTGTCAGCGATACAGAGTGTGCGTAGGCAACCGAGTGGGCGGCGAGCGCAATTTAGTGCCTGCGTCTTCACATGTGGGAACACGTCACATGGCTGAAGACACAGGGACGAGTGGGTAGAAGGGGGACAAAAACAATAGGACTGCAACGTAGAGTGAGTTTGGCAGCCCAGAGAAAATGTCAGTAACTGTGCTTCGTTATAAAAACACATGATGATGGACGAAACGTCAGCAGCAGGCTGAAACTCCCTGGATCTTTCTAAAGATGCTTATTCTGAACATTACTCTTTATGCAAACTGCTGAGTTAAAAAAAAAAACATGATGCCTTAGCTAAATTGCCAGGAAGCCACATTTAATTTTGACGCTGCTGGCCCTCTTATCTGGAGCAGCTTACAGTTACAAAGGCAGTTAGCTCCTTTTTTCAGTGCTTCAGGAATAAAAACCAGTCATGTTTTTTATTTTGGGAAAAACCTCTTAAGCCATCAAACCACGCACTCTAAATCCTCCAGAAAAAAAAGCATTTATTTGTTGTTTCTGCTCTGCACCACACCCCCACAGAGCTCAGCCAGCATGGACAGTCACCTTATCAGCCAAGCTGGAGGTTGAGACAGTCTCTTAATAATAGGAGCCTACACCTGAGCTGTCATTCCAATGTGTGGCAGGTAAAACACGTGAAACTGTGTCTCATGGCGCTTTACAAGCTCATCACATGCATTAAAAACACTGAAAATGAAGAAATACTGAGATTTCTACGAGCATGATGGGATTGGAATCAGAATCAGGGTTTATTGCCAAACAGGTTTACACATACAAGGAACTTTCTGCGGTGCGTTTGTGTGTAAGCTAAAATGTGAAAATATAAAAGTTAGGAACAATACAGACATTTTACATTAATTCACATTAAAAACAGATAATGAATGTGAATTTTGGCATTTTTCATCGTTACTTGTTTCACAGTTTCTGTACGTCCTGATTTCATGCTATGTGCTCTGAATGAAGATGCTTTTAAAGTGCTGCATTGAAAATAGCAAGGATTCAGTTTTGATCTGGGATATGTGTGAAATATCTTAATTAAAGCTGCCCCTGAAATCCATAGCAGACACAAGACCGAAAAAAGAACCACGAGCAACCACTGCTTCTGGAAGGAAGAATTGAAATGGTAAAAAAGTCAAATGAGAGGGAAGGAGAGAAGTGAAATAAGAAAGAAGGTGAGTGAAGGTGAAAAAGAGAAGGAAGGGGCGGGCAAGATTGAGCGGAGAGCGTTAAAAAGGGATTGGAAATGACTGAGGAAGAAGAGAAGCTCAGAGAGCATGGGTGAGGGAAAGATGATGGATGAAGGGCAAGAAGGAGAAAGATAAGTAATAAGAGAGAGCAAAGGGAAAACGAGTGACAAGGAAGACAGACAGAGATTACAGAAGACGTAAAAGGGAGAAAAGAGGGCGTGAGTGTGATGGCAAATGAGTAAGTAGGCAATGAGGCGTGCAGGATATGAGGTTGAAATATTGAATCGCAAAAGGCAGAAAATTAAAAAACCCTCTAGCACCTAATTTTCAAAGTCACAGCAACCTGCTCAGTCACACACACACACACACACACACACACACACACACACATTGAGTCTGGTTAAATGTGAATAATCGTTTCTCAGCTCAGGATTGGAAGAACAAAACTATGAAGCAGTGACGTTTATACACATACAAAAATGTATGTATGGTTTTGCTTTAAATTACATAGCAGTAACTTCATTTGTAACACGTGACATGTAAATCCGAACAAAACTTAAATAACTTTTGAATTAGCGTGGAAGGGAAATCAAACCCAGCGAGACTCTACAAACAGACTGCACGCGTACTGTGTGCTAATCACGTCTCAATTGCAACTCGCTGAAGCAATAAAGCCTCCCATTGAGAATTTGCCCGAAAATAATGAGGGTCCCTCTTTCTGACTCAATAGGCTGCCTACAAAGTCTCCTCTGGGGTGACATCCAGTGCAGAGACAGAGAGATAGACATGGACTATTAGGATAGTGAGAGATGACAGACACACACACACACACTGTGCAGGGGAAGCCTTGAGGTTTAACTCGGCTTGTAACTTGAAACATTTTCAGCTTGAATCTCAAGACAGCCTTTGAAATCTGTGGGGTGAGTAAGTACAGTAACACCCTCTCTGTGTTGTTTTTAATTGTGTCTCATAGTAGTTTATTGGCTTGTAGCAGTTTTGTATTTCATTTTTTAATTGATCCACATATTATCCACCATTAATGGCAATTTAGAGAATTTTTCTTCTCTATTAAAGTGATGTGTCTTTCGATAGCTGCTTCACACTTGCACTGACCTCTGTACATTTTTCAGAAATTGTCCTGAGGGCCAACACAGTTATTAGTGTTTATCATACCACAATCTTGTAAACAGATTTAAAATATTAAAAAACCTGATCACAAATCTCTCCTACCATTTGCAGAGGCCTCTTTCGAAGGTCTCGCTCGGTGACCAGTCTCTCCTGGTCCGTGACGTAGAGTCCACGCTGTGCCAGCGCCTGGATCACGGCCTCGTGGCCCAGCAGGGGCTTGGAGGCGTCGCTCTTCAGGATGAGGCTGCCGGCCCTGCAGTATAGGTCTGCAGACAGCAGGAGGCTGGTCACAGGAGGCTTCAGGTGCTCTTGCTCATACTGGTCTATGTAGAAGGGATCCTTCAGGTCTGTGGGGATACTGTCTGTATGATGGAGAGGGGAAAAACACGCAATTAGTGTCTTTATTTTGGGGCATGTTGTAATGCCCATCAGCAGTTCAAACAAATAAAGAAGGCGGGGGACACTAGGGGAACATATCTCCACACATGTCCTCAAATACAGACAGTACACTTGACTGTATTTCTTATGTTTCTCCACAGGAAATGTAGAAGTGACGGCCGCTTTGTTCCAAAGAGTTTTATTGGAGATCTTCCCCCTCAGTGCAGATGAATTTCTTACGAAACTTTAATTTGACAGGTCTGCTTCATTTGTTCCTCCCATGCTGCTACGATATCTTGACATACACACGTGTGACTAGATCTCAGCGTTGCTATAGCAACTGCAGCAGAGGTGGAACTCAATCGATTCATCTCTTGTCTGTATATCTGCAACTTCCAGCTCCCTGGGAACCCCCCTCTCACTGCCTGACTCCAAAGAGCCAACCTGCATGTGTGTGCGTGTGTGTGTGTGTGTGTTTGTGTGTGTGCATGCGCATCTACTAATATATATATATATATTTTTTTTTTAGTTGCTTTTGTCTCGTATCTGCGTTGATGCCGTTTGCTGAGCTTGGAAGCATTTTTGTAAACCACTGCTTGAAAAGAGAGAGTATGGCTTTTGTACAGAATAATGCAAGTCCCTCTTTCTCCACAATGTGATTAAATAGTAATACTTTCAAATTAGATGCTGCACGCGCACGCACACGCACACGCACACACACACACACAGTACATCCTCCAGATGCAGAGCTCATCACTGTGTCAGCAGAAGGACAATGAGATACAAATATTAAATTAATAATGCTTGTGTGTGCAGAGAAAACCTTTACATGTGGTGAGCACCAGACACACACACACACACACACACACACACACACAC